TCCCTGAAAGGTGTGTCTAGGAGACCATTGACAGCAGCACCAGTCTGCAAGCCTGTGAGTTTGGGGTCAATGAGTCCCAAGGCTTATTCCCTTTCCATGGTGTCTTGGTGACATGTGAGGAATCATTCATTCTTTCAAGAAAAGGTGAATTTCATTGTCACTATAGAAATCAGTCAGTAAGTGCTTGATGCCAGGGATGGAGAATGAAAATCTCCAGTGATGTGTCCCCCCAAAAAATTCTGAATTAGAAAATGTCCCAGAAAATTAGTTTAACTTAGAACAAGAATGGAAAGAAACCATAAAATAGGCAAAAGCATTAAAGCCATAAATAGTACTAAAAGTATTCATCCACCAGCAGTCAGTAACAAGGAAATGTAATTTAGCATTCTTATATTACTTTTATTTAGTAGCACTCCAGGGCAGATTTTTGAAAATCCAATTTCTAAATAAATTGTGCCCAAGTCCCCTAAACCTTTACTTATGCACCCTTGTACATATTGTAATTTCTCTTCTGATTTGAGATGCCATATCATTTATCCTCTTCTGTCTGTTTTGCCAGGGCACCCAAATGAAAGATTTGTAATCCCTTGTTTATTGGATAAAGTCTTGTATCACTGGACAGGTGGCTAATGTTTTCAAAATTGCTATATCCATAAGAGGTCAAATGATGGACTGTATTACAGGGACTGCATTAATTGTGTTCTGTATCTAAACTAGATTAGGTCTTATTACTGTAATTAAGGTATTGATTGATTACTTGTATTTAGTAAACAAAACTAAAAACTTTGAAATAGCCAGGCTTGCCTAGTTTTTATTTGTAATTGGCATTCATTTGTTGTTGCTAATGAATTTAGGAAACAGATCTTTTGTATGCAGAAAAATAAAGCAGTGAAGTTTTTTTAAAAAACAAAAAAACTTCCTCTTCACATCACTGACTGTAGCTCTTCCCCTGTCCAAAAAACAAAGGCTAAGGCCACATTCATTCTGATAGTCTAGTTGTACCTTAACCTCAACTGAAGCTCATAAAGTTTCTGTATGTTGTGTTAAGATACCGTACTTGACCAAAATTGGGTGAATGCTGCAATCCAGTTGACCCAGTTGCAGTCAACCTGCTTGTGATGAATGTTCTCCTGGTCTTTGGCATAGCCTGCCACTCTGATCTTGACTTCATGCTCCTTAGTCACTCTCCCTTCCCATTTTTTTTCTTTTGTTGCTGCAGGTAGGGAGTAGCCCTCTTTCCAAAAGAATATTGTGCAACTCTATTAGAGTAAGCATAGTCATTGCCCACCCATCTGTGGGTCATCCCTGGTTCTTGCAGGATGAAGGCATAATGACCTTGATTCTAGCAGGTTCAAGATCCTGTTTCTAGCAAGTTGATGATATGGCCACACCCTGCCATACTTGTTTATATGTCCTACAAGGAAGGCCAAGCTGCTCGCTTAGGGCCTAAAACACCCCCATCCTGCCCTTTAATGTGATCTTGAGAAGAAAGACACAGCATCTGTGCCTCCTGGGGGTTGGTAGGACCCTTATTATCCACTTAAATCAGGGGAGTCAAAACTCTCAAGTCCTCTCCATCCCCCAGCTATGTGGAATTAACCTATTTGTACTAGTGCTGTCTTGTAATAATTATGTTTTTGTCTTCATTGGATGACCTAGCTGTTCATTGTTTGCTCATTCAAAATCCTGTTAGAAAGTAACTTAAGTTTCTTTCATATTTCCTTCCTTGTATTGGCGTCTGGTTGCCTAGATCAAGCTCTGCTCTATAGGTTGACGTCTGTTTCCCTTTCCTGCTCCAACAGCAGTTGGATTATTATTATTTTTTCCACTCCTTGTCCTCAAATGAAATTAGTTCGGTGTTGGATGAATGCTGTTTCCTGGCAAGCCTTTCTTGGTGGCATGCCTACTGCTGCCATTGATGCCCACTGTCATGAAATACAGTAGGCTGGGTCTCTCTATCGCATGTGTGTCAGAGAGGGGGGGTTGGGGGAGTTATTTAGGTATCCCCCCCCCGCTTTTTTGGCACAGCCTGCCATGCTGGTGTATGCACCTGCAGGCTTCACTCCTAGCTGTCACTTGCACTATGTGGTCTAAGGGGAAGAGATAAAAATGGTGTTTATACTGTATGCAGTTTCCTTTAAGGTACTGGGGCAGGGCTGGCAGCAGCCCAGTCAGTTCACTGCCCCTGGATTGGGAAGAACCAAATATATTCTGGTCCGATCTAACTTCCTCAATAGCACCCCTTCATCATTAAACAGTTTCCTCTTTGTAGGACTTCTCAGCCATTGCTGTCCTGCTGTGACGGAGGGGAATCCTGAGCCCTCTCCAGTCTTTCCACCACTGCCCTGCCAAACTTATTTTCAGTCATGCTGGACCACAAAGCCTGCCAGTACCAGACAAGCAGCAAAAACAGTGTGATCTTGTTTCTGATACTTCACCTAGAACAGGGTGGTGGATGGACACTGTAAAGCAGTCCTCAAGTAGCACCTGCCTTTTGGTGGCTCATCACAGCACTCTTGCCACTGTCAGCTTGATCTGCCTCTCATACCTTTCCAAGGAGTGGAGGTAAAGACGCTGCTCCTCCCACATAGAATTCAGCATTTTTATTTTAAAATGAGAAATTATTTTGAAGTGAGAGTTTGACACGTACATTTGACACACATATTCCTGTACCACTACACTTGATTGTATGGAAGTGTTTAGAAAAGATACACTTGGGAGTATAATGTTTCAGTGTAAATGTGCAATATACATAACATTTTTATAGAAGTCGAATTATCGCTGGATTAAGCATAGAAATGATGACTGTTGAAATGCTTACTTCTAGAGTATTTCCTTGGTTTTTGCACAAGTTGTTTCAGACATACTTATTGGTTAATATTTGCATTCATAGTATGATTACTTTTGTGCACTGTTGACTTTTTTCAGCTGTACTATTCATGTAGCGATGATATATTTCCTCTTCCCTTTAAGTTGCATTCACATAATTGGTGCCATGTTGTTTATCTCCTAAACTATGTTACCTATTTCTGCAGGCTACAACGATATAGCTATGTAAGCAGTCTGAAAGGTGGTATTATTGTCATGGCAAAGGTGCCAATTTGTAGTAGCTTCAAAGTGGGTAAATTAGTAATTGCCATACTAGTTTGTTGAAATGATACCTCAGTGTGTGACAGTGGCCACACCCCAGGAATGGCTTTGACTGGCCAGCTAAACCAGGCAAAGGTAGCCGATTGGTCTCAAACCCTCAGTGAGTTGGAGACTTCCCCTGCATGTGAAGGCAGGCTCCAGCGAATTGAGAGGATGAGACCAATAGCAGGTCCAACAGTTAAGAAGGTGGTTTCTGCACGACCTGTAGAGGGAAGTGAGGGGCAAATGGATGGCTGCTGAATGCTTGAAGCAGGGTTTTGAGCTCCAAGGCCAACTCTTAAGGCAAGTTTCTGCTCTATAACCAACCCTTAGCATTTGTTTTTATCCTCTCTTCCGTTTTATTTCTTAACTCCTTTTAGTGCTTCGTTTTGTTGTTTTAATTTATTGTTTTATCTCATTTTATTGTTCTAACTCCCCTAAACTGTGAGGCTGCATGGGGCTGGGCTGGGCTGAGCACTCTACTAGGCAGTGCCAAATGCAAGGTCAAGCCAAATCAATCAACCTGGTAAGGCATCCCATCTCGGAGAAGGAAAACTTAGTTCCTAAACCCTCTGCCTTTCGGGATATCTTTGGGAGAAGAAAAGGCTAAGGAGTAAACTCTACACAAATCTGGAGTGGAGTCCCTAAGGCAGTTGGATGACATCTTGTAAGTCTCCTTCCAGCGACTCCTGCAGCCAAGTTGGTGCCAAATATATTATGTACTCTGCTTTCCTTTGGACCACATTAGTGAGGTTGAGAGCAGGATCTTGTCATCTGGGCAGCCCAGGACCTCCATAGACAGTGCCAAGGCTTGTGCCCTAGGAGGGTTGCTTCAGTACTGCTAACACAGCTGTTTGGCTTCACCTCTGGAGGCATACTCTATTGTCCCTTGAGACAGACTGATGCCAACAACAACAGCCTCTTAAACTGCTTAGCTTGGATCACTTACGCCCTATCCCGAAAAGTGTTTACCCATGATGTAGTTATCAAAACTGACGGGGAAAATAAACTCTATTGATTTATGTTAAATCCAGACAGAGTAGATTTCCTGTATGCTAGATTAAATTGTCAGTTGACTTGCAGTATAGATAATAATTTTTCTTTGGGGCCTTGGGTTGCTTTGACATGCTGAAATACTACTTGGATTTCTTCCGGGGAAACACTGAGATGACTCAAGTCCACAAGCTAACCACGGTTTGTCGTCATGTCGGGTATGCAGCTTAGTATGGCTTTCAAACCAGGATCTGAAACCCGGCAAAGCAAGCACTCACACTAAGGGCACACTTTTAATGTTGCCTAACAAAATGCCTTCATTTTAAGATACAGTAGCTTTAGTATACTAGTAAATACATATTACATTTATGCAATTTTAGAAGAGATTATCACTGTGAATCTTACAAAGTTAATATAGATTCTGAAACAGGGGTTGGAGAGAAAATAGATTATTTGCCAGGAAGCAGCACATTATATCTATTTCTCATTTGAGTTGGCTCTTCTGTCACCTTTGCCATCTTGTCTTATAAAGAATAATTTTGCATGTTTGGTGGTAATGAGAATATGTCCATTGGATAGAATCCTAGGGATTTTATTATTTATTTATTTTCCTCAATAAAAATGATAGGAAACCTTAGCCTGGTAATGGATGGTAGAAGGATATATGTGTGTCCCAATGGTTTTTATTTTAATCTTGCACTGATACAGGACTGGATTTAAGCCTATTACTCAGATATGCTTCTGAAACTGTTTGATGTAACCTGTTGTAATATCCAGTTGTGATTCTGGTGCAACAAACTGAACACAGCTTCTACAGTTCATATCTATTCAGTGTAAACGCATCTCAGAAGTAGGTAAAACTGATACTAGATTTAGATTTATCCATTGTTGTAACTTCTGGTCTTGTCTAGTTGAAGGTTGGAGGATGGATGACTGTGTTCTATGGAGGGATCATACTGCACAATGATATCATTCACACGCTGGAGTGTGTAAAAGGGTTTGGAAAAGCTCTCCAGGGTCCAGGTGGGTTGGACATCCTGTTCACCATTGCCCTCCTCTTCCGTGCTTTCACTGCTGGAACTTGATCTCACCAGTTCCTCCAGATCTTCCAGACTCAAGGCCTGTTGCCCCTCAATCAGTTCCTCTTCCTCCTCCTGGATGAAGTCAATAAAGCCATCGCCATCAACTTGCCTCACCATAATGTTCTCAGCCTCATTGGCAATGCCCAGAAATCCCTTGAAGTCGTGAATGCATTCCTTCCACAGCTTGTGCCAGCATGTTTCATGTTTCAGGCTTGATTGCATCCACTGCCTGCTTGATGTAGGTGACACAGCCGGCAGTGTTGAAGGACTTCCAGAATGCCATGAGGTTGAGATGTAGATCAGCATCCATCATATTGATCAGCGAGGCAAAGGTGAGCCTGGTGTAATGAGACTTGAAGCAGTGAATCAGCCCTTGATCCAAAGGCTGGATGAGTGAGGTTGAATTGGAGGGGAGAAAGGCAACAGTGATGTCATCGTGCGCAAATGGCAGCTCCTGTGGGTGACCAGGAGCATTGTCCACCATCAGCAGCACTCCAGCCTTTTCTCCTGCAGGTAACACCTCACCTCCAGAATGAAGCGCTTGTGGAACCAGTCCAGAAAGCTTGCAGGCCTTCTTGTTGGACTGCCAGAAGATAGGCAGCAGATTCTTGTTCTTGCCTTTGAGGACATGGCTTTTTTTTTTAAGCTGTACACCATGTCCGGCTTGATTGAGTGCCTAGCCACATTGCCTTCTCTGCTTTGTCAATACAGTCTGCTCAGGCATCTTCTTCCAGGACAGGCCTGTCTCCTCTACTCTGAAGACCTGCTCTGGAAGGTATCCTTTCTCCTGCAGCAACCTCTTTAGCTGCTCAGAGTATGCTTCAGTAGCCTCCTAGTCTGTGGATGCAGCTTCCCCAGCTGCCTGTACAGTACTTGCCCAGTTAAGTGAAAAAGCAGTTAAATGGAGCCAGACTGGTACCTGGGAATAATCTGCACCAGGGTGGACCTAAAAGAGAATGTGGCAAAACACTATTTATAATCTAATAGCTCTCAGCTAAAACCACACATCATCAATGATCTGCAGCCCATTCTGAATAATCACACTTCCCTCTCTCACAGGCCTTGAGTGTTAGGTCTGTACTTGCTTACAGACAGTGCCCAGCCTAAAACAGGCATTTGCTATCAGCAACAGGCCATATATCAAGAGAGACAAACACAGAAGCCAGCCTTGGAGCAGGCTGAGATACCAACTTTATCCCCATATCTTGCAGGCAACACTATTACAGGGCTTAATAATGTCAGCCACATCAGTGTTTTCTGTGTGTGCTCATCTACTTGCCATCATCTCCCAGCAGTGCCTTTCTGCATTCTATATAGGACAAAACAAACCAATTTCTATGCAAAATAAGAAGTAGACTTCAGCCTAACATTAGAAATAGCAATATGCAGAAACCAACAGGAGAACATTTCATTATACCTGAACACTCTATAACTGATTTTAAGGTGATCATCCTTGAACAAAGGAACTTCAGAGGTAAACTCCAGTCCGAATTATAAGTTATAGGGGAATTAATTTTTGTCACTTGCAACTTGAATTGAGATTAAGGTTGTTTTTTTAAAAAAAAAAATCTACATGTTCTTGTTGATTAGCTTACAAATGCCAGGATGTTTGTGTTCTCAGCAACAGTGCTGTGGCAATCAGTCATTGCTTTTAGATAACTGATGCTGTCTGTTACTTTTGCATTTCATTTCCCTCTTACCTCACTCTCTTATATTCCACCTCCCCCGGTCATTACTTGGCAATTTAGGAATACAATTCATGCATCTGATAAATAATTATTATTTTAATTTCTATACTACCTTTCTTCTGAAGTTCACGTGGTGGCTTACAGCATATTACACAAAAATACACAACATAATAACAAACCAAAACAATGTCTCCTACAGTTTAAAAGACCATAGATTGTTTAATTACCGTATTTTTTGCACCATAACACTCACTTTTTTCCTCCTAAAAAGTAAGGGGAAATGTCTGTGCGTGTTATGGAGGGAATGCCTACGGGTGGCATGCCTACGGATTTTCCTCCTCTAAAAACTACGTGCGTGTTATGGTCGGGTGCGTGTTATAGAGCGAAAAATACGGTAGCCAAAGGCCTGGGAGAAGCGGAATGTTTTTACCTGGCACCTCCCTGGGGAGAGCATTCCGCAAGCGGGGAGCCACCACAGAAAAGGTCCGTTATCATTTTGCCACCCTCTGCCTCTGTCACGGAAGGGGCACATGAAGAAGGGCCTCATACGATAATCGCAGGGTCCAGGTTGGTTTATATGGGGAGAGGCAGTTCATGTGGTATTGCGGTCCTGAGCTGAAGGGGACTCTAGTCCACAAATGCTTATTTCATAACGTTTTTTCTTAGTCTTTAAAATGCCACAGGATTCACTGAGTCTTATTTTTAAGCCTGACTTGCATGAATCCAGAAAATCTAATATAAAATAATGCTTGATTTATCACTCCTTTTTAAAGTACCAGGAAGCAATATTCACAATGGCTGTTAAAAGCTTACTCAGCATAGCCAGAGAAGATTTCACAAACCAGATTGGACAGGGATTGAGTGAACAAGTGTGGAGCCTCAGAATTCCAAAAAATGTGTCCACATATTTGTGCAACAACCGTTGCACCCCTTCTTAGGACTGCATGAACTATGATATATTATTGGAAGCAGGTATAAGTGATTTAAGCTGCAAAATGTTTAGCAAATTGGTCACAGCGACAGTACTTCCCAGGAGTGGGTGCATGTGATAACAGTTCTATATATATAAAAAAACAAATTGACCAATGCTGAACAGAAACAGTGGTGGCAGAGTGTTACTTTATTTGCTGTTATCACTGCCACATTGTAGGCTCTGTGAGAATATACCAGATTTTCTGGATTTCTATGAAGTCTGGTAATTATAAGATCTTCAATAAATTTATCACATAGTTTTCATAAATAGGATAACAAAACACACCTACTTTTTCTCCACAAATGCACAAATCTCAATCCGACGAATTTTCCTGTATTTTCTATCTATAAATGTCAAGGGCATTGCTTAGAAGGGCAGTCTGATTTTTCCCCCCCTTTAAAGATGGAAAAGAATGAATACCTTTGCTGACAGTGATCCATTTTGTAGTAGCATTAGAAAGCTCTACTTTATATTCTTTTCAAGTCTAGATCAGGTGCAAAAATCTTTCCCTTTACTTGTTTTTTTGACCTTCTACTTAGAAGATGATATTATCTGGTCTTGTGACAAATTATATTCTAGCATTAGCTTCTCACACACCAGTGTCTAATATAGTGTATCTGTTTGTTTTAAAGCACACTTTGAATTATATTGTAAGCATGGATGATTCCACAGATTCTACCAGAAGAGAGTCAGTTATCACCTTACTTCCATAAAATTTTTAGAAGAGCCTATATTGCTTGAGGTGCAGTGAATCTGCTTATATATTATTTTTTGAAGACTTTAACAGAACTAAAGGCCCAAACTTGAATCTGATATATTATGACCCGTTTCATCATACATTTATGGTATTCCAAAATACCATGACTCTGGATTCTAATTGAGAAAGTGATTCCTGTTGACAGTGCAGCCTACGTTTTTACAATATTTTCAGCTCCACTTGTGACTTTGAGATTAGGGACATACCATGTGTACAGGTGACGACTGATTAACACATGTCTGAAAGGTCCGTGATAACACATGTGCACACAGTGCCAAACCTGTAAGTAGTTGAAAATGTCACTAAACACGTCACTAAAAAGGGTGGAATGGGGGCAGGGTGGGGGGTAGAATGGGCTCATACGTGCTCTGCCGATGGGCGGGGCAGGGCGGGAATGGAACCCTTGCACGAAATGGTCGTTGATTGTATACTTAAGATCAAAGTGTGTGTGTGTGTGTGTGTGTGTGTGTGTATGTATGTAAAGGTAAAGGGACCACTGACCGTTAGGTCCAGTCATGGCCGACTCTGGGGTTGCGGCGCTCATCTCGCTTTATTGGTCGAGGGAGCCGGCCTACAGCTTCCGGGTCATGTGGCCAGCATGACTAAGCCACTTCTGGCGAACCAGAGCAGTGCATGGAAACGCCGTTTACCTTCATGCCAGAGCGGTACCTATTTATCTACTTGCACTTTGACGTGCTTTTGAACTGCTAGGTTGGCAGGAGCAGGAACCGAACAACGGGAGCTCACCCCTTCGCAGGGATTCGAATTGCCGACCTTCTGATCGGCAAGCCCAAGAGGCTCAGAGGTTTAACCCACAGCGCCACCCGCATAATGAATATGAGACACGTGTAAAGAAACTCATAGAAACATTTACATTCACATCAAAAGTAAACAAGTAGGGGTGGGGTGGGGACATTCATAATGGAAAGAAAGAACATGGTTTATGAAAGTTGATGTTCCAAAATATTTTAAGTAAAGACTACCCTTTGATGAATGCACACCAAATTGGTTTATCAATCTCTTAATTTCGATAAAAATGCAGTATCTCATATTCTCCCATACTAATCAGACTTCAGTGGGGTCACTGTTTCCAGTTTGTAGCTATACATGTTTTTGAAGCCATGAGTAAGTTTACAACTACTTCAAGATCAATATCATTGATTGAAGCTTGAAAATGTAGTCGCTAACCTTTTTGGGGCTAGGGCAGCATTGGCACATGGACAGCTTATTTGGGGCTGCATGTCAAATGTATGTGTCAAAAGTGTAAAAGTGGGCATTTACATATTTTTTTTTAAAGGAAAACTATAATGAGGGGGTGGGTCTTGGAGGGTCATAACAACCTTTTGGCATCACAATTGCAGCAGGGGGAATGGTCAGTAAAAGAATGACTATTGTTTTTTAAAATAAAAAATGGGTTTACATAAAAACCTTCTTGGTGGGGTTAGCGTTAGGTTAAGTTAAAAAGTAATAATTAAAAAAGAAGGAAAATGGAGAGAAGCCTATCGCCCCTCAACAATCTTTTGGTTTTTCGACATCACATAGAAACACAATAACAATAATTTCCTATATTTATTTTTAAAACGGCAGGATTTGTTTGAGTGTGTGTATATTATGCGGCAAAATAAAAACATAACATAACAAAAATTATGCAGAGAGGGATGGATGCTACTTATGGGTTATTCAACCCTGCCTGAATGGG